AAATTTTGATTTCCATGTATCTCCGGAAGTATTCGGAATTTTCCAAATTTCGAAGTAGCGTTTTGTTAAGCAAGAAATTGCGCAACTTTGTCCCAATTTAACCGAACCTGTATCTCTTACCGTTTCCTATATTCTAATGATTGCTCTCGAAAAACGGACACCTTGTATATAGGTAAATCTTCTTGATACCTATTCAATTAACCGTTCAGGGTCGGTTTCTCGATAGCTAGTCCAGGGTAAACGTGTCCAATTGCAATGTTTACCCTGGAGTTATGGTTAACTGCTCTGATCCGGGGGTGACTTGCTTGCTATTGAGAAACCTTCAGGTGAGGTGCCAAAAATACACAGGAAAACCCTGTACCTTGTCGACACAAATATGTTTGGGGAAATCCCAGAAAAGCGAAAGCATAGTCGCGGTTGCCTGGCGCCCACCAAATATCAAATTAACCAGAGAGCAGAGGTTACTCATGTTGCATTGCATTGTTGTCGACATGAGGGCAAGTTTTCAGGGGGCCAACTAAATTTCAGGGGGGGCCCCGGCCCCCCCTGGCGTCGCCACTGGTGGCATTTATGGCAGTTTCCACCAACTATTTTAGGGAAGCCTTAACGATAAGTATTCCCTAATACTAAATTAACATTTCTGCATGGAAGACTGTCATTTTAAGGAATACTTATCGTTAGGGCCTTAAAATAGTTGGTGGAAACGGCCATAATACCCTTTGTAGAAAAATGACTCGTGATATGAGAGGGAATTTAAAATGAGTTATTAGTATGTAGTCGGACTAATAAGTAGGTAGGTATAGGTAAGAAATACATCATAAGTCAAGTTTTGTTTATTTATTGAGGAAAACCACCTATTAAAAATATTATTTCTTCAAATCTCAATTTTTTCAAAAAACGTTTACGGAATAAAATTAAATGTTGCAACCATGTACTGCGCCACAGAGTTCAGGTTTAGGGGACAACGACGGTACCATCCGAACGGGAGGTAAAGAAGAATAAGCGATTAGGTTTTAGAATAGAGAAGAAGCGGGCTGCTCTCCGAGACGCTTGTCTGTAATTATTGATTATTCAATTTTCATTCCTATTTTGCATTAAAATTAATTGTTCAATCAAATTTGTTATTAGTGTGTGTGCAAGGAACGTACAGGTTAGTCGATTAATTATTATTTTGTTTTTGAGAGTTCAATTTATGCAAGTTCCTATCAGGGCCGTAGCTAGGGGTTGGTCATGGGGGGGGGGGGGGGGGGTTGGGCAAGAAAAAATCGGATCAATTTAGAAAAAACAAACAAAAGTTCATATGATTACATTGCGTTTTTTTAGACAGAATCTATTTATGACATCCTTGGAACTAACATTAATTTCTCTGTGAACTGACATTAGAGCTAAACCTTTCAAACGTTCGTTCACCATTGAATTTCTTTTAGCCAAGATTTTAGGCGTCTTATGGCCGTTTGCACAGACCATTTTAAGGGAGGTTTAACGATAACCAACGTTTAAAGTGACATTTTTACATGTAATAAATAAAGTCACTTTAAACGTTGATTATCGTTAAACCTCCCTTAAAATGTTCGGTGCAAACGGCTATTAGAGTCGAAAAAGATCTCTCTGGTGTTGTCATAGAGAAAAAGAGACTCATCTGTATTTAAAAACGTGTTAATGCCGTTAATGGCCGTTCTTGGCAAATGGTTACCGCTACCAATATCATTATAAGTCCATTTCTTTTGCCACCTATCTTATTCAGCCTTGAATAGAGAAAAAAATTTGTCATATAATTCACAAATAGGTTCAAATATTTCAAGTTTAGCGGCCGAACATTTTTCTGTGGTATGAGTACCTAACTGTAAGTATGAAATGGATTGATGCTCAGAGAAACGATCTTTTAACTCAACTATAATATGATCTATGAACAGAATGTAGAGATTTCTAAGGTAGTGCTACTCAGGATTTTCAGCCGGAACATTTCCACGCTGAGTTTGGCGACTTACAGTCCTGGGTTTTTTTAATCTCGCCACCCATACCTAAAACAAGCTTTCCTGCTTCATTATAAATATTTTTAAAAGATTGATCGCATGACACATGTGTCCCTAGATAACTGGACTGATTAGATTGCAGTATTAAGAGGATTCCGGAGCACGCCGCATCTACAAAACTCACTCCGCGATCGAAATACGGTAGGCCGACGTGAAGGATATCGTTAGTGAGCGCGGTTACCTCATTCATTGGCGTAGCGTAGTTAACAATACCTAATGGCGCGAATTATAAGAATTTCTTGTTAAAAATTTAAATAAAATTATGGAAATCTAGAAACTTCTGTGTTTTCAATCACATCTATTTCGTACCGTACCTACAAAATCAAATATATTCGTAGGTACCTACTCTAATTCTATGTGGGTAGACCTAATTTTCCGACGCGTTCCGTCAAATAAACAGAAAATAATACTAGTCGGAGAACGAGCAACGTCTAACGTGCAACCTCTATAAGACATCCCGAACAACCACCTAGAAAAAATGTTTTCTTATGTAAATTGACCTGGCGGATCCGATTTTGGAGTTCGCCAGTTGATCTGGAATTGCGAAACTGGTCAAAACCGGCATTTTCCAAAAAATATCCAATTTTATGGATTTTTCTAAATTTTTATTCAACTCGCTGTATCTCCCTTAGTTTTAGTCCGATTGAATTGAATTTTTTTGGAGAGCCAATTTAGACCTTTGTTACTACGACTGACAACAGAAATGCAGAAAAAAAATTACGAGTCACCATAATATATTTTTTTCAAGTTAGTGACACGAAAATTGTTAAAATTGCAGCCAGAAATACTCGATCGAGAAAACTTTTTTGTTTTTGAAGATAGATATATATAGTAAGCGACAAAGTTGTAGCCAAAGAACCAAAGAAGTTTTTTTATTCTTGTGATTTTTTTGATAACTTACTTACGTTTTCGAGAAAACGGATCCCCAATATAAAAAAAAAACTAACGCGGCCGCGGCAAGTCAGGCCACGTATAGGTACTGGACTACTTACTGCACAAGCGGTCCCAAGCGTATTTTAGTTTTAGAGGGCAGAGATTTGTTTTGCACTAATAATAACCTATTCAATAATAACCTATTCAATAATAATCGGGGGTTTATTTCAAAGTTCATTTGGTAAATTTTAATTTTGGAAAAGGAGAAATATGTAAAATAAGGTTTTAAATTTTGATAAAGGTAATTGACAACAATAGTGGTTTAAATCGATTCGATTCAAATATCATTCATATGGTTATTTTTGTCCAGTGTTCACATCTTTGTTCCTGATTCAGCTCCTACCCTAATTAATTTTTAGATTGGGTAATGACAACAACAAATAACATTGAATGTTCTGATGTTAACTTAGTAACAGAGGAGACTGAAAACGGTATTTGAGGGAAAAACGTTTGTATATGGTAGAGCTATCGTATGCTAATATCTGTAGTTTGTTTAAAAAAAAAATTAATCCTTTAAGAAAACAATTCAAAGAAACTTTTAAAAATAACCCCACTGTGGTATATAATTGCAGAACGTAGCGGAAATTGGAACCAGCATTTACTATCTGTACAGAAAATGCTCCTTTTTAGGCTTTTTATGGTGTTTGCTGGACACTACAAATATGGTGTCATATATACCTCATTATTTACGTGATATGAAAAGTCTATGTATGTTTGTTCTAAGCCCATATCAGTCCAAACGCCGTTAAGCACCTCATTTTTTTAATTGAATGTTAAATTTTCCTTTTAGAAACGCTTCGTGTACTTCTGGAGCATACATTTTTTGAATTTTCATATCACGTTAATAAATAATGAAATATACAGTATCCGCCAAAATAAACAGTACTGAACATACAAAGTTGAGCCTTTATTCCTTCTAAATCCGGAAATAGTGCTCTGCTAAGAAAACTGTTTCTTAAGTTGAAAAAATTCTTCTAATTAGCATACGATAGCTCTACCATATCCAAGCGTTTTTCCCTCAAATACCGTCTTAAGTTTTCATTCTCCTCTGATACTAAGTTAACATCAGAACACTCAATGTTATTTGTTGTTGTCATTACTCAATCTAAAAATTAATTAGAGTAGCAGCTGAATCAGGAACAAATATGAGTATGATAAAAAACACTGGACATAAATAACATCATGAATGATATTTTCAATCGAATCTATTTAAACATTTTAAACCACTGCCGGTGTCAATTGCCTTTATCAAAATTTAAAACTTTATTTTACATATTTCTCCTTCTCCAAAATTAAAATTTACTAAATGAACTTTGAAATAAACCCCCGATTAGGTATTATTGAATAGGTTATTATTGGTTATTATCCCTGCCCTCTGAAACTGCAAACGAATACGCATGGCGACCGCTTGTGCAGCGCCCGCGGGGCCGGAATAGTTTTCTTCTATATTGGGGATCCGTTTGCTTAAAAACTAATTTGGCTACAACTTTGTCGCTTACTATATACATCTATCTTCAAAAACAAAAAAGTTTTCTCGATCGAGTATTTCTGGCTGCAATTTTAACAATTTTCGTGTCATTAACTTTAAAAAAATATATTATGGTGACTCATAATTTTTTTTCTGCATTTCTGTTATGTCAGTCATGATAACAAAGGTAAAAATTGGCTCTATAAAAAATTTCAATTTAATCGGACTAAAACTAAGGGAGATACAGCGTGTTGAATAAAAATTTAGAAAAATCCATAAAATTGGTTATTTTTTGGAAAATGCCGATTTTGACCAGTTTCGCAATTCCAGATTGACTGGCGAACTCCAAAATCGGATCCGCCAGGTCAATTTACATAAGAAAACATTTTTTTTAGGTGGTTGTTCGCGATGTCTAATAGAGGGTCCTAAAAACGCATCCTAGAGGTGCCTCGTTCTCTGACTATACATTGTTTTAGGGAAACAATATTGTCTTCTTAAAAAAATCTTAGAAACCTCCAGTTAATTTAGACTAGACAAACAACCGTGCTGCATAAGCAGTTGATTGTGCTGTGCTCAAGTATTTAACTTGACCGTGCCTGAAATAAAGCAAACTCGCGCTACTGATACCGAACGAAGAAAGCATCTGTGAGCAACGGTGATGCACTGCTAATTTTGATGAAAATCTGCGGTTTCATTTTTAAAAAAATAGGAAACTCAGAAACAAAAATGTTTCAAATAAAAGTTGTTTAAAATCATCCACACTTTATTGGAAAGTTAATATTTTGTTGCTAAGTTCAATAATAAACGTTTTTGAAACAATTTTCCTAACCTGACGAGCGAATATCCTACCGCACAAAGGAAAGAGATATTGGCTCAAAAACAACTATAGCCGTGACTTTACGTAACCAGGGAGCTCGGTACCTGCCACAGATGGGCTAACTAACGAAAAACTCTTCAGTTTTGATTACAGGTAGTGTTGATTGAATGTCGTGTGTGTAATTGAAATTTTAGCACAAGAACAGGGGCGGTACCTAGTTTCAACTTTTATTGAATTAATGACTCACAATTCTTATTAAAATGACACAGTATGTTTCGATTTTTGGGGAATCGAGGTTTTCTCTTCCGTTCTCTTTTTCCTCGTTAATTCCAGGTCGCGAACGGTACGTTTTTCTTTGATAATAAAGGAGGCGTTTCACAAATTTTGCGTTTCTTTTACATATTACTGCTTCCCTTAAATTTCCCAAATATTTGCTATGTCGAGCGCATGTCCAGTAAGTAAATTTGAGTAAGTATCCACAAGGTCCTGTTTGTTTTTCATTTCATTTTTCAGAAGATTTGTTGTTTAAAAGGTAATGAAAATTCTCATCGTTCAATCTTACTGAGCGAACCTGGGTATGTTATACTACATTATGCAAAAAAACAAATTTATATACCTCAACTAGTTTTAACACCTACCTACGTTAAAATTTATTAAATTAATCATCATAACAATTAGGTTTTTCAAGCAATGTATTTTATGCAAAGGCTTTTCCACTATATTTTAATACACTCATCTGGATGGACGCTTGGAGAATTACAGGAGTTGCTCAGCTGCAAAAAAAAAGTTAAATATAGAATATAAAATATGTTTTTTTTTTCATATCGTTTTTTGTTGAATGTCGAAATGTAACTGAGTAGGTACTGATCGTTTCATGAGGGTCCATACTTTCGACATCGAACACGTCATAACTTGAAAAAAAAGGGTTGTCGCGTAGATTTATTTATATGTTATACGTTTTACACGGCAAAGTTTCTTCACGAAATTATTGCCGAAATATTTCGTAAGTTTACTATTCTTGGTTTCGGTTTTTCCTGTTTGACACGGCAAATAAAATTTAGCAAAAGTTTCGTGAAAATATTAGTCATACGCAGGCGCAGTTACGTTTTGCCATCAATAATATCAAATCATAACCTCATACTTTAGTAAACCAAACAAATAAAACTTTTGTTTTCTAATTGTTGTTGAATCTTTTTACTCCTCTGCAGTTTCATAAAGTTGAATTTCTGTGTTCCTTCCAGAAATAAATATTTTTTTACCTTTGGCTCTGCCCAGCTGGTCCTCTCCCTCCCTCCTTATGTTTTTGGGCGCAAAACTTTTTACACCAGTTGATCCACCGATAAGCAGTCTATCTTTATCTGTTACATAGGAAATCCAATGACGGATTCATAAGGCTCGAAGGAAAAGAATGCGCCTTTTATTTTGTAATTGTGTGCGCCGAAACTCACGCATTTTCTCGGCCGCGCCCACAAAAACTATAGAACATTTTCTAAAGTTTATTGGCGAAATAGTTTTTCTTGTCGTGTAAAACAGGAAAAGTTGACTTACGAAATATTTCGGCAACAATTTCGTAAGTAATTTCGTAAAGAAACTTTGCCGTGTAAAACAACTCTATGACACATTCAATTTTTTTGACAAATTAAAATGAATGACTTCTGGTTTAAGAACCGACGAACGTTTTTATCATTGATTTGTTTCAGTCAATTTCTATTTGTTGAAAAAGGAATGCAAAAAGTATGAACCCTCGTGAAACAAAGTTTATATCTATCATGAACGAACATTTGAAATAAAGTTTTTTGGGTTTTCATTCGGAATTTTATTGCTTTTTAGTACAGTTTTAGTTGATTTTCAAAACGGTTGAATTTTTTTGCATTCATGGTACCTACCATTAAATTTCAAATAATCCATCACCGAGATATCAAAGGTGTGTTGAACGCTAAGATAGGAATTCGAATTTACACCATCATAAAATTGCTTAGGATTTATTACAAAATCCAAAAATGAAAAATAATTTTAAAGTGAAACATCTAGGTAGACGGACAACCTCGAATAAACGGGAAAGTTCGCAATGCGCCTCCTAGACAACAGTCCCGGACAAAATTTTCTGAATTTTTACCTTACACAGTAGACAATTAATAAAAACTCATAAAAAAATAAAAGTTGAAAGTCCCCTGAGTTCAAATTATTAAAAAATACTTACATTAGTGAAACCAAAGTTTGTGGTACCTACTTATTACTCACATTATAACCTGCCCGCGAAAATAACAGGTATAGTATTTTTGACAATAAATGGTTGACTCCTTTAAACTACCTGGACGTTTTGAAAGAGCTCGGTCATGAACACAATGGGAATACAATGGGTAATTTTATTGCAGTCATTAACTCGATACCAATTATTGTGAAAAATACTTTACAGGTACATACGGAGGTATGTATATAGGGTGATTGATGGTCGATGGTAGGTTAGACGCTAATTAAGTGACACAACCGTCGAACAGTGTTTTAAAAAACCGTTTATTTTTGCAAAGAGCCTTAACTAAGTTCACAACTAAATCTTACAAAACTATTTCTAAGTTGAACAAAACTACGAACAGCGATCTGGCTTTGACACGCAATTAATGTTACTGTTTACAATGGTAATTCCTAATTTATAATGTAATAATGCGTATTCAGCATTATTATATGTTGGATATTTTTGAAAATTTGCATGCCCAAGTAATTGCTCCTGATCTATCATTCTAAAATAATTTCAACGATGCGACGTTGCCGCTTATACCAAAGAGTAATATAAAGTTTGAGTTTTTAAATGAGACACCTTGTATATAACCTTCGCTCCGCTATTATTTTCTGATTATTTTTGTATAATACTGTCCTATACTTATCTCTTGTGATTTTCGACTTATTAATTTCTTTATTTTTTCTTTAAAACATAGCTCTAGTAAAATTTATATTACTACGTCACTGAGATTCGTAGAAAGTTCAAATTTTGAACTTAAGATAACTTAGGGCGACCCTGCATATTACTTTTGAGCAAGAAAAGTTGTTCTACATTATACAGGGTTTTTCAAAATTAGTAATTGTGCTGCCAGGTACAAAAAAGATGAAATGTGCACTTTTTTGAATAGAATGTACAGTCGTGAGCATAAAAAGTGGGACATCCGACTGATAGGTCTTGTAATTTTTCGCTATTTTGGGTGAATCAGTCTTTTCTCTACAATAGATTTTTTGTCAAATATGACAACCCCTGTCATTACCGTAGGTATAGCTGATGAGCTCGTTTTACAATAGGAAAAAACGGGTGTCCCACTTTTTATGCTCACGAATATAGTGACCGCCAAAAAGTTTGCAACAAATGGTAAAATATTTTACTATTAAAATATTAAAAAGAATGTTACGTGGGATCAATTCAGCATACCTATCAACAAAAAAAAACACTGTGACAGATGTCATGTGACCACAGTTATGGCGGGAAATTTGAAAAGTTCGCCTCGATAATGTAAAAAGTCGGGTTAGATGACCAGAAATCGAAAAATTGTAGAGAGAAAAGTGGTTCAGGATTCGATTTTACGTCTATGTGTCAATTTTTGAAAAGTTTCAAGGATTTTTAATAAATATCAATTTTTTGGTCTGTTTTCTAGTAATTTGAAGAATATTAAAAACTTTTCGGAAAAATATTGGTTTAATTGAATTTAGAGGTATTGGATCATTTAGAAAGATTTTATGATAATTCTAAATTTGTTATTTCAAATTTTTGCTTTCTGTAGGTCATTGCAACAAGATCAGAGTGGTCTGAAAATGAATTTTTGGTATTTTACAATTTTCCGCGGGACAATTAAGCAGAATGACTGCACTGGTTTTTTTTTTGTTAGTTTCACTTTGAATTATGTGAACCAAGCGAAAAGTTTTTGATATTTTTCAAATTACCAGAAAACAGGCCAAAAATTGATATTTATTAAAAATCCTTGTACCTTTTTAAAAATTTACACGTAGACGTAAAATCGAATCCTGAACCACTTTTGTCTCTACAATTTTTCGATTTCTGGTCATCTAACCCCACTTTTTACATATTTAAGGCGAACTTTTCAAATTTCCCGCCATAACTGTGGTCACAAGACATCTGTCACAGTGCTTTTTTTTGTTGATGGGTATGCTGAATCGATCCCACGTAACATTCTCTTTGATATCTTAATGATAAAATATTTTCCCATTTGTTGCAAATTTTTTGGCGGTGAGGTATTATAAAAGGCAATGAAAATCCCTTACAAATGATGTATTATGTTCCTATACCCAAATAGTGAGGTTTCGGAAATACAAGCAAGTTTCTATTAGAATTGCATTATTTTGGGATATTTGTCTAATGGCGTTTCCGATTGGTAGATTTAATTCGCACTAAGTGTATTTCCATCTCTTTCTCTCAACCTGTTGAAGAAACAGCTAGAAATTTATTTTCTTTGCACTCATTCTACGAACTGGAAAAGCCATTGAATAGCTATGAAATGTCACGATGAAACATATTAGGTGATTCAAACCACGTCAATCACTAGAGATAGATCTAGGTATCGGACAGTATTATACAAAAATAATCAGAAAGTAATGGCGGAGCGAAAAATGCAATAATATACAAGGTGTCTCATTTAAAATATCAAACTTTATATTACTTTTTGGAATAGGCGGCCACGTCGCATCGTTGAAATTATTCTAGAATGATAGATAAGGAGCAATTGACTTGAGCATGCAAATTTTCAAAAACATCCAACATTCCGTTTTCCATAAGCGTCTAACCTTAACCTACCATCGACCATCCATCACTTCTAAACGTACTATACGTTTTTTTGTAAGTTCATATTCCATTTTAATCTTTCCTCACATATATGTTTTGCAAGGATATTGGAATTATAATCTTGTGAACTGGGTACATGGAAATCGATGCCGATAAGTTTAATTATTATAGTTGTGCTGTTGATAATAAACAAAACATTCAAATTTCCAATATCTCCGACAGTGCGAGTGACGACGAACAGAAAAATATTACAACTGATTGTTACACTAATGATGTCTACAAAAAACTAAGAGAAATTGAATCATTTCTTATTTCTACAGGCGATTTAGAACCAAAGCAAAAGCAAAGTTTACAGGCAAAAGCTTTCTCAGGTAACATTGTATGTTGAATCCGAAATTGTAAAATACAGTAGGTAGCTAAAAACGAAAACACACTGAAATTTACCACTTTTTCAAAAAGTTATACCTAGTGTATATTATAATGTAGGTAGGTACCTATCGATTCTAATATAAGCTTTCTCTGTGCACCTATACTAGGTAAATAAAAAATCATCCTAATTAACCCTTTTTTTCTTCTTGTTTTTCCATAACTGTTGACAACAGACACCTCTACTCAACCGTTATAACTAGCATATTGTCCATGAATGTAAAAAGTTACGCAATTGCGTGAATGCGTAATAATCTTGTAATAATGTTTCATAAAATAGGCAAAAAACTTTTATACATACCCTATTAAAATCAGTCTATATAAATTCAGCAACATATTCTAAGAGTGATTGCCAGCAAACGACCCCCGCTGACTATTTGGTCTGATCGTTCTAGTTTCAGTGTCCAGGGATTCTCCAAATCTTGACTGAACTCGTGTTTTTTCGCGACTATTTGGTTGAGACACGAATACGAATCGCCGGTCTTCATTACTTTGTTGTATTTGCTGATTCTTGAATCTAACCTCTTGATTTCCTTGGTTAGTCTGCTGACTATTGTTTGCACGCTCTGGGTTCCTAAGATTTTCGATGTGCTGAGCATTTAGCAGCCAAAATGGTCTATTGTCTCTAGGCCAGTTGTTCAACCGATTAACCAAATTAACATCTCCTCTAGCATCTAAAGGAATATTTTGAGATTGGTCATCTCCCTCTCCTATTCGATTTGCAACGGATATACTGGAATTCACCTGTGTTAAATTTTGGTCTTCTGTAGAGTCCTTAAAGCGGCTAGCCAGCTCGGGATACCCTTTAGGACTTGCCCCAGCATATGTGGGTCGTTGTGACATTGCAAGACCAACAAATGATAAAAAAATTAGATATTTCTGAAAAAGAAAAAAAATGTTTCACTTTAGGTTCTCTGAGTACTCAACGCTATGAGTATCTTATTTTATAACTTAGCTACTAGATAGAGTTTCAATGGGCAAAGATTAAATACTGTTACATAATAAAATTCGTGCAGAGCAGCCGGTGCCAGTGTTGAAGACTCTAGCACGAATATTCCTTGTGTGATTCAAATAAACAAGCATTCACATCACTAGAGATTTGTCGGTTCAATGTTTTGTGAGAGAATTGATATAGGTACATAAAAAGTTAAGTGAAAGCGGTAAGTGATCAGTTATTTATGTAAAGTCAATTGTTTGAATAAATGTTGTTGATGTTTTTGGTACTTAAATCATGGTTTAAGTAGACCCGCAGAATCTGACAATTCGGTGTCTGAAGTAAGATAATTAGCGAGACGATAAATTCAAGCCACTCGTTGAAATAATTGAAGAGATACCTAACTAGTTAATTAGTTTGGGTTAGAGGGAGATAATAAGTAAACTATGATAGGGGCTTAATTACTGGTTTTTACATCGAAAAGCGGAGTGAATCTCCTAGAATATTATATCGAATCCATCGTGTTCTGTTCGAGAATTAGACAAGGTGAATGTGTGATTTTTGGGACGGGTCGAAATGAAACCAGAAAAATCTGTTTACTATGTCGACGTTTCGACTTTTATAAAGTCATCTCCAGGACATTGGAACATAAAATTATATGTCCTTTCAGAGTACAGCAAAATATAAATATACATGCACAACAATTTCAAACATGTATAGACGATGTAAAAAATCAATTTACAATAAACCAACATTTATGTTGGAAGAGAAACGATCATTCTTAACAAAAATGAAAAATTCATTAACGATTTCTTTCTCTTTTCCCAACAGCTATCTATCTATATATGTGTAATTCTATTATACACATCTAATAGATCGAAAATTTGAGCTCCTTTAGTTGAAGTTATTAACATTAAAATAAAGTAATTGATGGCAACCATGGGAAAACATGTATTCATAGTGTTAAAAAATGCGATGTGCCAGCATTACCGATTCTTCCCATTGGAAAGAAGAACTATAGAAGAGGGCGAAAAGGCAGCAGCATATTCACAAATATTAGAAAATAAATCAAGTCATAGGACATTATAGGTGCATAAGATTAACGGAACGAGAATCATAAGGCGAAAAATAATTACTCATAATTCCGTACTTTTTAATTAAAAATTCCTCCATTTTTGTTTTTCAAACCACAAACACTAACCAGACAAACATACACAATTTTGAACAAAACTGCTTGCATACCCAGCGGAGACACGCGTGTTATGTGACGACAGCTTACCGTGTTGGCTATACCGTACCGTGTAGCGTGTATAATTGAGATCTATAAAAAGACACGTAAAATTCAAGACCTCACGTTTAGTACTGCACGCGCCAGCTCGTAACGTGATGACCGTGTCGAAGGTGTGTTCCCGGCTTTAGGGTTTTGGTTCATATTTTGTTTCAATGATTTGAATGGATGATTTTTTTGAAGTTATCCGTGTTTTACGGTGTATCCCATGCACACATAGTTTTTGGTTTAAAATTAACGTTTCTAGGCGTGGCACCCGAAAAAAAAATTCCCTCCGGCGGCGCCTGCGGCGACCTTTTCGTCTAAAATATTTTTCGGTTTTGAGGCGTTCCATTAAAAATAACGATAAATCGATTTATCAAAAATTAAAGCAGATTTCACAATAGACAGCCCTAATTTAAATAAGATAATATTCACTAAGAAATGTAGTTGTTTAAAATTAAAATGCGGCTTTTTCATGCCTGCACAAAGGCGGCAGAGGGGCTAGGACCGGCCCTGGCTCTACTCGCCGCTCCAACATAGACACCTGCTTACAAACACAGGCACTGTATTTCGTTGCTTCGCTAGTATCATTGCTTTTATCGTTTATCACAGCTCCAACATAAACACGGCTTTAGTCAGTTTCAAGCATACAGGGTGTGTCAAATAAATGTTGCAGAGCGAAATTGTATTTTTTTAAATAGAAGACCATGTATATTGTGCCCTTATTTATAAGTCCCCTTCAATCTGATTTCAACGATATACGGTTTGATATGTTTATCTCTCGATTTATCTTCAATAGTTATAGGAAAAAACGCGAACATCCTTTCCTAGGTCTCATGTGTTTTTTTTTTCAATAATAATAGGTAATAACTTAAGTCATCTGGATTATTATAATATTTCACCTTGTAAATTAATGAATAACATTTGAACAATCAACTGTTTATAAACAATTCTCTCTAAAGCTTAAATGGTATAATTTTCTTTTTTCAATATGAGACCTTGAAAGGGGGCTTTCATGTTTCTCCCTATAATTATTGAAGATAGACATATCAAACCCTATATCGTTGAAATCAGGTTGAAGGGGACTAACAAATAAGCGCACAATATACAGGGTGTTCTATTTGAAAGAATAAAACTTCGCACTGCTACACTTTTTTGACGCACCCTGTATGCTTAAAACTGACTTAGTTAAAAACTTTTGACAATTTCTTAAAACTTTTGTTTTTGAAACTTTTGTCAAAAACGTCAAATGAAACAGTTGGGGTGATATTTATAATAGATCACCCAGCGTACAGTACCGCTCGCTCCCATCCTGGAAATTCTCAGCCTTTGATGGGGAAATTGCGACAGTACGATTTTCAAATCAAGCATAATTAACGCAGATACATCAACCAAGCGATTATGCGCACTTCAATGAAAGCCAGTGGCGTAGCCAAACCAAACGTGGACGTCGGCGAGATCCGAATTGCGAGGCCCTTTTCATGAAGGGGGGATCATATATTTTTTGTGAAAAAAAAACTGGATATAAGACAGAGACAGGGAAGGGTAGCCGCCGGCAGGCCCGCCGAAAGATAACCGCCGGCAGGCCCGCCGAAAGATAACCGCCGAAGGCGAGAATTTTTTGAGTATCACGCCCCCTGTTTCAGGCATATCAACGGTATTCGATAGTAATATGTAGTCAAAAACATTAATATTTTTCCGCTAAAAAATCCTTCCAACCGAAAATAAATTTCTCATTTATTACAGTATAACACAAACATGGACAGACAATTTTTAGTAGGAATCAGGCAATTTTTTAGGAAACCTAACTAATTTTCGAATCTCTGTATGTTAGTATGTTTATGCTCGCTGTTTGCTATACAAAATCAAATGCTGGACGGATTTTCAAGATGCTGTAGAATATACAATACAGCGAAATAATACTGTACATTCTTTGAATGTACGTATGGTTATCATATTTTTATGTCTCGGTCGGACTGTCAGTTGCTAGTTAGGAAAAGTGCTAATTAATTGAATTAAACAACAGTACCTAGTATTGCGCTTGAGTTTTTAGATATTCAAGGTCAAAGGTCATGAAAATCTCATTTTCTCAATTATCTTACTTTTCGTCAGCGTATAACTGAGTTTTAGAACATCAAAATCCATGCCAATGGCAATTGGCATGGCACCATTGTAACAATCTGTCTTGATCTTCTTGAAGCGCTAAATAGTCTGGAGAGGTTATTCTTAGTAACTGTTTCAAGTAATAATCAGCGAACAGAAGAAAAAGACTATGCTTGAAACCAGATAAAAAGTCATTGATAAAGATGTTGAATAGAAGGGGGCCCAGGTGCGAACCCTGGGGGACGCCTGATGATCCTAATATTTGAGAAGATGTAAAGTTCTTGAGGTGTACCATTTGAGTCCTACCTATGACATAACTCTTTATCCATTGTAGGAGAGAACCTGAAACACCTAAGGTCTCTAGTTTTTTAATTAAAACTTCGTGGTTCACTCAGTCAAACGCATTGGAGAGGTCGGTGTAAATAGAGTGTACCTCTTCACTTCTCTCCAAGGCTCTAGTCAGGATGACCACATAAAACAACATAAGTGACAAGATTTAGTTCGGTAAAAGATTTTTTTTTAAAGCCAAACTGCTGGTGTTTAATTTCAGGTCCAAGGCAAGATGTTAAGAATTTTGTGACGATAATTTCAAATACCTATTTTTGGAATAGCATCGAAGATATTATAGGACGATTAGTCACATTTTCTGAATCACCTGATTTGTGAATGGGTACTACAAAACTTGATTTCCAGAAGTCTGGAAATATACCGTGCTGTAGTGATTCGTTGAACATTATATGCAGAGGTCGAGATAGAACGGGTGCTACCCTCTGTTTTCGTGGCGTATAAAGTGGAAATGGTTGGTTTGACGTAAAATAGGCGAATAAAATTTTTTGAAGAGGATTTCCCAATATTTTCTTCCTTTCATAGCCAAAATAGTCGTAGGACATACCAAATATTTAAGAAAAACTCATTTCTGTGACATTTGACCTTGAATATATTGAAACGCAAACAAGATATCGTTGGGGACTTTTACACTACATTATTAATTGTTATAATAAAAGTTGAGGTGTATGCAAAGTTACAGCTCACTCTGATTTTTTTAGTAGATGAATCCTTAAATGATTGTACTATCCAGGGTAGTGCGCCATTTCAATAAAATGATCGGAAGGTGAATCGGGTTGCGATTGCCAGCAATTTAAAGAGGTTGCACGAGGATCGCCCAATCAGTAGACGTTCGCAACCAAGCTGCTCAACTTTTTTTTATAATTTAATACGTGAACAGGAGAGTGTCGTTTAAATAATTAATTTCCAGAGAGATTGATTGACAACCAAATTGCTTGAATGTCGCCTAATAAATGGCCCGTTCTGGAGCAACTCAATTTCCAAGAAATTTAAAGCAATTTTATCGATCAACTTGGTTGCGGCAAAATCGCCCAGTCAATGGGGGCCTTATGAGATTTAGAAGTTTCGTATAGGATTAAGTTTATTTGTTCTATACGTTTTATTTTGGGAAAAAGTGCCAATTTTTAGGTTTGATAACCAACCTATTTTTTGCGAGGCTCCTTAGGGCGCGAGGCCGTCGGCGGTCACCGACGTCGCCGATGCCTAGCTACGTCACTGATGAAAGCACTGTCCCACAATTACTCAGCGTGAAAGAGTTTTTAACAAATCAATTGAACCGAGTTTCGAACACGTTAGAAGTGATCAATTAGAAGAAAGTAACATCAAATTCATGAGGGAACAAAACCAATACCCATAGGAAGATGTGTCAGACAAGGCGACACAATATCACCTAAACTTTTTAACCAGGCCCTGGAAGATATTTAAAAAAAACTAGACTGGGAAGAATAAAAAGGTATAAAAATATTCGGACAACACTTGAGCAACTTAAGATACGCGGATGATATCGCCCTAATAACTGATAAGAAAGAAGAACTGACAGAAATGCTGGAAGAACTTGACACAGCAGCTAAAAACATAGGTCTCAATATGAACTACGCTAAAACTAAAACAATAACGAACACAGACGATGACATCACAATCAGAATAGGACAAGAAAAAATAGAACAAGTCGACGAATATATATATCTTGGACAGATTATCAAACTCAACAAAGAAAACCAAACAGCAGAAATCAAGAGACGAGTTAGATTGGCTTGGGCAGCATTCGGCAAATTAAGCTACATCTTGAAAAATAAAAAATATCCACAATACCTCAAAAGCAAAGTGTATAATCAATGTATAGTTCCTGTCCTCACCTATGGATCCCAAACATGGACACTTACAAAGTCAAACATGGATAAAATAACAAAAGCACAAAGATCAATGGAAAGATCAAATGTTACATGTGAAACTGATAGATAAAAAGAGGAACGAGTGGATAAGAAATAAAACGAGAGTAACGGCCATTTGCAACGCTATAACTTAAGGGATATTTAATCCAAGTGGAGCTTTGAATGTGACTCTCGTATAAACAAAAGTCACATTCAAAAGCTCCACTTAAATTAAATATACCTCAATATCCCTTAAGTGATAGCGGTGCAAATGGCCATAAGCGACGTTAGAAATAAGAAGGTAGCAAAATTAAAATGGAAATTCGCAGGTCACAATATCAGAAAAAAAGACGACCGATGGAATAAAAGTATTTTAAGCTGGAGACCTTGGGAGCATAAAAAAAGTAGAGGAAGACCCCAGATGAGGTATGCTGATGACCTGAAGTAGCACGCTGGAACCAGGTGGATGAACATGGCAACAGACAGAGAGGAATGGAGAAGACTGGGGGAGGCCTACGTCCAAAGATAGACCGGAGAAGGCTGAATAGATAGATAGAACATCAAATCGTTTTTGAACCTAAAAAAAACGGCAATATATCGCCAACAAACTGAAGAAAAGATAAATCTGGCGAGTGAAACTTCACTCGTTTTATTTCAGAGATTCCCTCGTTTTCCTGGAATTTAAGATTTTTCATGTTCTATGCCGTTCAAAAGAAAAGCTGCACACACATTGGTATAATTTTCCCAATATTTAACTAATTCAACCATTGACTCTTTTTATTTCAGAGATTCCCTCGTTTTTCTGAAATTTTAGATTTTTCATGTTCTATGCCGTTCATAAGAAAAGCTGCACACACATTGGTATAATTTTCCCAATATTTAACCAATTCAACCATTGACTCGTAGTGAAACCAGGAACAAGCAGATTGGTGGAATACGACTGCTGATCCAGAACATTATCCTTCAAATGCTCTACCGAATAGGCCTATTCGGGATCCACACCACAAGTTTTCCCACATTCAATGCAACCAATCAATCAGCGGCATCCGGTCGACATTGAGAACCAGTACTGCGAATTTTTAAAAAAGAGGGCCCAGGTATTTCCTCTCAATACAATTCTCGAGCGAGATGGAAGTTGGTGTTGTCTTGCTAGCTCTATGCCGGCTTGTCGAAAATTAAATTTGATTTTTTTATTTAATTATTTTGTGATTATTTCAAATTGGTAAAATTGATATAATTTTTTTTTGAAAAAATATTGAGGTAGTTTCTAATCCTTTTATCTTTTATTCGATATCTTTAGCTGGAATAAAGGCACGCTTTTTAACTACCTATACCTACATACCTAAGAAGGAAATTTCTAAATAATAGATATATGTTAGTGATTTTGAAGGGCTATTAAGCATTTTCAGTTGGAAAACCTTTTTTATTCATGAGATTTGGTCTGAAACGTCTTAACCCACCATTAGACGCGCTGTATCCTGTATCACAGAGATACATGTACTAAATCATTGATAAAAAAATTAAACCATCTGATGAATTTCGGTTTTACAATTTCTATGTATTTATTCGTGTACTCAAGAATCACTTTTTACTGAAAAGAGATTCCAGAAGTTGGATTATGTTTTCGCAGTCGTTGCAGTTTGGCCAACAACGCCCGGCAGCTTTACCATAATATTATGTGGTCTCTTCCGAGTCAGCTTGGGAGGAATTTTGTCTCATTGAGTTCCATCTTCACCGAAGATGAACAGCCTCTTGTACCATAATATTTATATGAAAAAAATACCAAGAAAACAGTTACCATTGAACTAGTTGAAGAGCACCGATGGTAACAAGAAAAGTCGCGTTGTATCAATCAGATACAAAGCCGAGCGCACCCCTAGTTTTTTAGAAATTCCAAATTTCCAAGTAGAGGTAGGATCATGTAATTTTGGGAAAGTAATAAGTATAAGGTACCTAAGGACTGCTACAAGCCATAATATTATAGGCTTTGTCCTTAATAATACGCATGTACCTATCTCCCAGATACACGCGCGACTAATGGAAGGTTAAGAGTTTACTCATTCGCCTGAAATATCCCTAAAATTGGTTTTTGGTCCTGTCGTTATTATACAAAAATTAAACATCTTCTGGTAAAATATAAATAAGAGAAAAGACTTTTTGTTTTTTTATTTCATTTTTAAAATTTTGTTCAATAAGCTTCAAAGTGAATACCAGAGAATACCTGATTTTCACAAATTATTTAATTTAAAATACGAATTTGAAACAAAAATCTGTTACAGTTGAATCAAACCATCACAAACTTGCAGGAGAAACTGAATGTGCGATGGGTTAGAATGAGCATACATTGCAATAAATGAAATTCTTTGACAGGTGCGTTTCTACGGTAGGATAGAACAAGATCTTCACATTCAATATATCTTCAATATAGAAGTTGATTTCTATTTGGTTTTTCCATAATTTTGTCTGTGAGTGGACTCTTAATAAGAATTATTTTCGAATAAAGCTAGGAAATGCTCAAAAAGCTAAGTTTATTACATTTTTTTTGATACAAACAAAACAAACCCATAATCTTGTGGCAAAAAAATTTCGATGTTTCAGGACACAGAAAATGTTGAAACGCGAGAAAGGTATTAATTTGAGAGGCTTAAAATGAGCTCAATTTTTTTCATATGAAAAATATGTAGCGTGTTTCAACTATGAAAAAAGATAATTTCAAAACGTGGTTTAATCTGAAACTTTGACAAGCCATCTTTGGGGCCGATTCTCGTCCCCAGGGAGTAGAGCTCCCTGAGAGGATGATTTTTTTCTCCTTGTCAACGTAATCGAACAGTAAACGAGAATGATAAAGACGAAAAATTTGTTCTCTCGGGGAGCTCTCCTCTCCCTAAGACTAGAATCGGGCCACTGGAAGACTGTATTCAGAGTGAAACGATGGAAACGATCTTTGCAATGAAAGCCTGTCGCTTCTCTATTCTCTACATGTTTTCAAAAATTATGACTTATGAAGAGGCTGGAGGTTCTAGAGGCTGATTACAGACAGCCGATTCCAGCACATCGAAAAATACCTACCCAAAAAGGCGTCGCTCTCTCAAAAACATAGCTAGGTATAGGTATGGGCAATACATTTTTGTAAATGAAATGAACACCCATTTCAAAATTTACTGCATTATTAAATTGTGACTTACTATGATGGGTATTAACTATAGGCTTGACTTCCTTAGAGATAGGTAAAACACATACCCGGTGGGCCAATGAACACGAAACAAAGCCGATATCTCGTATTCATCGTTCATTGAAAAAAATCGCTCGAACCCGTCGATTTTTATTCGGAGGGGGAAATCTTATGCACATATTTTCAATCTTGTCACTTCAACCCTCTCGCGGGGGTAATCTGCAACCCTTAAATCTCAAATGGCATTAGTGGTCAAGTGGTACCTCATTTCAAAGGTCATCGAATTATCTTTTCATTTTTTTTGAATTTGATGCAGTGGTTGTCGAGAAAGCGCATTTAAAAATATAGACGGGAAAGTACTGCTTTAGTCATTTTAAGCACTATCAATTTTGTAGTTATAAAAAAAATTATTTAAGAAGTGATTTTATGTATTTATTTTTTAAGTCGTGTCCTATCCAACTTGAAATGACAAGGTTCAAGTCCAAAGGTTTTATTAATCACTCAATAAAATTCAACTAAATACATTCTGAGTTTATATATCTTTTGAAAAAAAACCTCAGTAAATTCAAAAAACTTGACCCCTAATGCCATTTGAGATTTAAGGGTTGGAGCTTACCCCACGAGAGGGTTGAAGTGACAATATGGAAAATATGTGCAAAAGTTTTCCCCCTCCGAATAAAAATCGACGGGTCCGAGCGATTTTTTTCAATGAACGATGAATACGAGATATCTGCCTTGTTCATTTTCATTGGCCCACCCTGTATAGTAAAAACAGTAACTGTAATCTTAATGAACAAAATATTATGTCAAAGATCAACCGAGTATATCTTGTTTTTAAAAGTAAATATGTAAATATTTGCGTTTAGTTATTCAAACAGTGAATAAATTCAAATATTTTTCCAACAAAGTTGAATTTGTTAACAATTTTTGTATTAAACCTTCGAAATATATGCCCTAAATCCTAAATCAAAAAGTTTGCCACATGATTCAAACGATTTCTGAAAAATATTTTTATCAAAATGAGTAACAAATAGTAATAACAATCAACCAATAAATAATAATTTATAGTTTAAAGTCATATGAATACAAAACTAAAAAGCACCGCGTTAATATATTAAACCAAATTAATTATTATACTTTACCATATTCAATTATGTATATCCAAACGCAACAATTATTAAGATATTCAATAACAATGCACTTTGGCTGCCGCCACTACTAGACTTACGACTTGTGTTATTGTGTTGGTTGATTTCTTGACGGAATTCAAACAAGAATGATATAAATAAGAAGGATAAGACTATTTTTATGTCAAAGGAACTACCGAGAAATACCAGTACCAGACAGATTAAAGTAAATGCTTTGTCATTTTGGAAAATCCAAAGCTTCTTCTTCTTCGAATGCAACGCAAACGACTTTTCAGGTGCGGCTCAAAGTTTGGGTTTTAAATTTCTTGCATATCCATGACGTCGGATTCCATGTTTGTTTATTATTAAATCCGAATGACGTTTCACAAAAAACGCATATTCACGTGCATATTTTGAAATGTCATCATATAAATAGAAAAAGGCCAGGGTTTGCCTGTTATTAATAATAATAATTATTGTATGTATAGGACAAAACTGTGGAGAATTATAATAAACGAGTGAATATGAATTTTCTCGTAAATATCCAACTAAGTATGTACCTACCTACTTACTTCTTATTTATTATAAGTACGACGAAATAATCGTCTAGTAGGTACATATCAATTTTATAGTCCGGGCCGTGATTCGTGATTGATTCATTATGTGGCTAAATTTAGTCACGTGTTACATCTTTGTTTAAATAATTTAATACCAACCTTTATTTTCACGATATAAATTGTTTTTAAATACATTATTCGGTCGTTGAATAATTTGAAATATCTGCTTATAAATGTGCTAATACTTCCATTGTTCTACAAAAAAATCATAGCAACTTTTCAGATAGGGGGTGTATTAAACCGTTTTATGAAGTTCTCTATAATTCATGGACAAATAGATTTACTTTTCTTTGTGGGACGTTCATGAACCCCGCACGTTCACATTTCATGAAACCTTGATTGGTGCCAACCGCATTTTGATAACTTCAACCGTTTTGCCGCCAAAGGGCGTTTCTCGATTTTGAGCAATATTGTGAAAAAATCATAACTTTTTTGTTTATGAAATTAATTGATTTCTATAAATACTTTCTACAAGCACTTTTTTAAGCAGAATCGTGACATTCTCAGTTTCAGTTTGTTTCTATTTGGCCCCGATTTCGAGATATGGTCCAAAGTTCGATTTTTGTTTAATGGTTCAATTCTATTTCAAAATAAGCTTTATTGTCCAAATTCCAGAGAAATTATTGACAAATCAACAGGATTACAATACTAGTTCCTTATTACAAAGTAGGCACTATAACAGCCACAAAAAGTATAAGATTAAACAAAACAAAAAAATGAATAAATAAAGCGACCTAACTCGAAAACAAAAAGCTCGGGAGAAAAACTTCAAATGCAAAACTTGTAGATCTCGTCAAATACTACAAAAAAGCCTATAAGAAGTATCCCTCCACGGGGCACCGTTTTAGTGAAAAACGACCTCGAAAATTTTAACAAAATTACAAAAAATTTCAAATTTGACGGCTAATATCTCAAAGACAAAAACGGCCTGGCATCTCAATAAAAAAATATTTTGTGAATAATTTCATCCTCTTTCAAAAGAGATATGACTCGAAACGATCGTTAAGAAATAGCGGAGCTATAAGCGAAAAAGTGGCCTCGTGTCGGGTACCCACAATTTTTTTCTGATCAAAATCGAAATTTCCTTTTTTTTTTCGGCCTTAAGATGTGCCGTAGCGAGGAGGGTCAAATTAACTTTTCGTCGTATTTTTTGCTCCTCTATTCGATAGATTTTTTTTTTTGAAATTCAAAATTTGAATTTTTTCGACAAAAAAAATTAAAGCCGCCTTCGATTTATTTTTTTTAATTTTCAAAGCGTCCTAACTCGAAAACAAAAAGCTCGGGGGAAAAACTTCAAATATAAAACTTATAGATCTCGTCGAGTACTACAAAAAAGCCTATAAGAAGTATCTCGCCACGGGACACCGTTTTCGAGAAAATCGACCTGGAAAATTTTAACAAAATTACAAAGAATTTCAATTTTGACAGCTGACAGCTGATATCTCAAAGACGAAAACGGCCTGGAATCTCAATAAAAAAATATTTTATAGGTAATTTCATTCTCTTTCAAAAGAGATATAACTCGAAAGGATCGGTTGAGAAATACCGGAGCTATAAGCGAAAAAGTAACGTCGTGTCAGATCGCCGAAATTTTCATCTGGCCCAAATCCAAATATCCTTTTTCAATTTTTTCCCGGCCTTAAAATGCGTCAAAGTAAGCATGGTCCCATAAGATTCTCAACGTTTTTTTTTTGCTCTTCTATCCGACGGTATTTTTTTTTTCAAATTCGGAAAAAAAATTTCAAAATCAAGAAAGATGTGGAGGCTAACTTTTTTCCGGTTCATCGGAGAGAACTGAAACTCAGAATATCGACTAAATCACATTTTGAATATTTCCGATTTTTGATTGGTTCCAAATTATCCGCTGACCAATAGAATTATAGACTGGGCCCCGGGATTAAAATAACTGTAACCCTTCGGGCTCGCGTATAACTCCGGCCCTTTGGGTCTGTGTTTTTTCCTATAATTTTTTCTGCATGCCCCCCCCCCCCCTCAAACAAAACGTCTGGCTGCGCCACTGCGTATTACTCCAGCCCTTTAAGCTCGCGTATAACTCTGGCCCTTCGAACTCGTATTACTGAGTATCCCAGATTCACAGATTTTTGTCGTGGAGGCGCGGGATTGATTGGAATAATGTTGTCAGATTTTTCTAAATTACGTTGAAATATCGGAATTTGGAAAGTGTAATTTGGAAATTATTATTTTAATTAGGAATCAGGAATAAAAACCAGGGTCGGCGCAACCATTAGGGGAACTAGGCGGTCGCCTAGGGCGGCAAACATAAAGGGGCGGCAGAAAGGTAACAAAAAAAAGATTCTTTTGAATTCTGCTTTTCTTCATAATATTCAGGATTTCATTTCTCTTGCAAACCCAAGCACAAACTTTGTCCTCCTTATGAGCACATACTGCTATACCTGTTTCTGCTAGTCGCTAGGGGTCGTGCGACTAGGTGGCAGGCGGCCAGAATAGCTATTTATGTACCAAGGGGATTATGTAGATTGTAATACCCGAAGGCGAAACTAGCCCGAGGGCTTCTGGCCCGAGGGATATATTTCGCCTGAAGGGCATTATAATCTAAAAATCTCCGTGGTGCATACAATGCTTTACTTGCTACTCAACACAATGTTCTTTCATCAATTTAGTATCAAACAAAATCAGTTAAACTTGTGTGACAGAATATTGTTTTGTATTTTGACATGTACCTGTACCTTGAAATGAAATAAATTAATATGTCTATAAACATCTCATAAGGCAAGGCAACGGTGGTCGTGTGGGTTCTCACGCTCGACTACATGGGAAACGTTGATGGTAGACCAGGGGTGCGATTTTCGAAACCATTCGAGTACATTTCGTATACGACATTTGACTGACAGCAATGTAAATTAAATGGGAAGCATTCGAAATCGTATCAAATTTCGTATGTGGGAATATTCGAAAATACGACCCCAGGTTCGAATCCTGGCCAGACCGAAAATTACTTTCGGTTGGACATTTAGTGGCTGTCTAGGGTAAAGTGCAAATTAATAAAACAATAACAATAGAAACACCTCAGGGCGTTATAGATCATAACGCTCGCTGGGCTTATAATGCCCTCAGGTTGTTATAGGTATGTTAACGTATTTCGTTTCTTAGGTATTATGGATCTATAATGGTTAAGTAGGAAATAAACTACCTTTTTTATTATAATGAATATTTTTGGCACAAAATTAACGTTTTGAGCGTGGCACCAGTCACCAAAACACGATTTTTCCGCCTGCGGCGGGCATGTGTGTATATATATTTTTTAGGTTGATATTCTATAATCCATGTTCTGTAAGTCAGGTGTACCAATATTATGTACCATCATTAATAAAACTATAAAGCATGTTTTTAAAAATAGCCATGCATATTTGTATTTTTACTTGATAGGGGCGGCAGACAGTACATTCGCCTAGGGCACCAAAGTCGCTTGCGCCGACCCTGATAAAAACTGAGATTGAATTTTCAATTTTTTGGGGGAGGCAGCCTCCCCTGCCTCCTCTGACGAGCCGCCACGGCTGTGAATTAAATCCGATTGAGTTGGTGTGGGCTCAGATTAAATATTTCGTATCCCTTCAAAATACCACATATAAAATAAATGATGTTGAGAAGACTTTTCAAAAAGCAAATGCACATGTAGATGCCGAAAAATGGCATAAATGTGTGGAGCACTTAGCACGTGAAAGAAGAAGAAAAAAAGATGTGGCAGCTAGACCACATGCTGGAAGAAGAATTACAGCCCATTATTATATCAGTTGGGGTAGAAGATAATTCTACTGATTATTCAGATGACGAAAGTTGCCTAACAACTGGTATTATTTTTATTGTCAATTTTACCTTTTAATGTAACAATACAAATATAATACAAAAATGTTGGTTTTGTTTATTAATATCTCGATCAATCTATTAAAATAAATATTTGATAAGTCTATACAACATCTTTTTTTTTTAAAATAAAACACCCTCTAGTCCTCTGCTATACGACACCAATGGTGGTATCTAGTACCTATCTAATGTACCGAGATCCATTCACCTTGAATAAAATCACAAATATGCAAATAAGTCTTAGACCCTTTTTGTATCCTAACACGGGAGGGTCAAGTTTAGTCTTAGTGATTTGCTAAAACCTCAATATATTCTTAGGAAAAATGAGAAATTTAACTTGTCCCCGACCAAACCTGGTAGCCCTATTCAGTTACTTATTTCATTGTTTCAAGAGAAACACAGATAGTCAAAGTTTAATTAACCTAAGTTTATTATAGTTATTTAAGTATTAAGGGCGGTAAGTGTCGTTTACCGCCCGAGATTGTTTGAAGACCGACGCGTAGCGGAGGTCTTCAATATTCGAGGGCGGTTAACGACACTTAACGCCCAAAATACTTATTACGTTTTATGCACGATCGGGCTATTCCAGTTCAAAAACTTAATTTATAGAATGGCATCCAATTGACATTTTCAAAAATAGAATTGTCTTCCTCCTATAAAGGCGCGTTCCCAATGAAAAATTGGCAACTTTTGTATTTGCAACGCTTCCAAAAATCACAACTCTTATTTCCATGGTTATCCACCACCGCACAT